ACACACAAATATATTTCTGCCTCGATATCTAATCGGTGCAAATGTACCTTCCTATACAAAGACAATTTAATTACACATTATTAAACGCATAACTGAGGAAATCATTAAATCATCAGAAAATCATATTATGCATAATGAATACACGACATGAACATATTATACAGATAAACTATATACAAAACATACCCTGTGTGTGACACGAGAGTGTAAGATGCCTTTTGCCAGTCGTCTCATTCGACAGTCACATGACCCTAAATACAGATACAATATTAATTATAATATTGTAAATAACATATAAATAATCACAGCATATACATGCATCACTGAAATACAACTTCAGTCATTCATACAACTATCAATAAATACATGCATACATCGCGAGAGATATGTACAAAGTCTAGAAATACACCAGATTTACTAAATAATAGCAAATATGCATCAAATACCAAAATACACAAAATACCAAATAACCAATGCATTGAAATATAAAATATATGTATAGATAAGCAATACTCGTGAATCAGACCCTAATCACATCACACTCACCTCATTCACTCAGCCTATCGTTTGTTTATGTTTACAAGTTATTTAAAACCTATTTTATTACTTATGTACTTGATTTAAACTAATGATTGAAAGCATAATGTTTAGATTGATACAGATTAATTATGATTACTAACCTTGATTACGTGATGTTCAATCCATTATGACTTACTGTGCAGTGCAGGTGTGTTTGCAGCATAAGATTAGCAATGGCAGGTGAGGGAGGGATTTGAATTGAAAGGTATACTAATTGGCTAACAACAGGTTAACCTAATGACGAGCAAACAATAGAACAAAACACCCTTGGAAGTAAAATAGACTGAACCATTGACCTTTGACCCAGTAGAATCTTATTAGTAGCAAATACTGATAAGGACACAACTAATGACAGACAGGAAACCAGGAAATGACACAACCTGTGTGTTGAATCAACAAGTTGAAATAGAAAAGACATGATACCTTATCTACACTAAAAATACTTACATATTTACAAGCTGCAGAATTAACACCTACTACAGAACAGGAATAGTATTTAAACACAAAAATACGCAACCCGCTTCCCCACACCTCCAACTAAACCACAAACCAAATACATTTAAAAAACAAACCAAATTCTTAGGATTAATCTTCGATGAACATCTCACTTGGGATGCTCACATTAAAAACCTAGTAACCAGATGCAGCAAAGACCTAAACACGTTAAGATGCCTAACCGGCTCCAACTGGGGGGCCTCTAAAAACACCCTCCTCTCACTCTATATATCACTAATTAGATCCAAACTAGACTATGGCAGTGCCATTTACGACCCCCTAAACAACTATCTCATTAAAAAACTAGACTCAATCCAGTATCAGGCCCTAAAACTAATCACACGAACTCAACATGGCACCTCCTCCACCTCACTCCAGGCCTTAACAGGAGAAATGCCACTTAAACTACGTAGGGAAAAATCCACTACTTACTCCAATTTCCCAAAGAATAACCAATTACCGAAATGAATACAAAATAAATAATCTTAAACAAAACAATAAATCCAATCCAATATCTTCACTCCAAAACTTAAAATACCAAAAGTAGACACAACACTAGCCGATACACTAAATAAACAAACCGATCCTAACATCGCTAAAACAACCACACTAGCATACATACACGAAAAGTGGCCAAATTGGTGTCACATATACACAGACGGATCCTCAGATCCGATCTCAAAACACACAGGTTTCGGAGTCCACATCGCACAACCAACCAAAAACACCCAATCTTACCGACTCCCAAACAACCAATCCATATTCACGGCCGAAGTCATGGGCATGGCCTCAGCACTGCAAACAATCAGCAATCTAAAAAACACCCCAAAATCCTCATCCTAACCGACTCCCTCAGTGGACTACAAGCCCTCAAAAATAAAAACACTAAAAACCGCCCTAAACTAATATATCAAATACTCATAGGCTCAAACTAAGGCAGCTAAATAAATAGAGTTCATTTGGATCCCCGCCCACGTAGGAATCTTTGGAAATGAAAACGCAGATAAAGCAGCAAAATTATCCCTTAATCTCCCAGAAATAAGCTTAAACTTACCAAGCTCAAAATCAGAAATAAAAAATGTCACTGAACAAAAAATCAACATAAAATGGCAATATATATACCAAAACTCAAACAGCCAAACGAGGATAGTACTAAAAAACACCTAACTAAACCAAAAATACTACACCCATCCAAAAAAATCGACAGAATAATTACTAAACTACAAACAGGCCACACCAAACGAAATAATCACCGTAAAATAGCTAAATCTACACACAACAGGAAACTACCCACATTACAAACAACAAGAAACACCAGAACACGTACTCATTCACTGCACACACTACCAAACACACCGAACAACACTGCAGACCACCCTAAGTCTGAAAACCGCACTAACACTAGAATCAATCCTAAATCATCAAAATAAATTAGAAAAATTCAAAGCCTTAGGCATATACCTAATTAAAACAGGACTGATTAGTCGCATTTAAAAACCCCAAATAAAATATTAAAACCAAAACTACCTTATCTAACAACCACCCAACACACACAGCTCCCTTAGTTCGTCCTCCACCCACTCTTGGCATTCATTCTAAATCTCAAAATTTCAAAAATACTATATAAGCAACCCCTAAAACCCCCCTCCTGGGTTGCACAAACTCACTTTTCTCCTTTTCGGAAACACATTAAATGGCCTTGCCGGGCCCGTGTGCGACATACGCTTGCAGTCGGAAAGCGCACGTTAAATAGGAGAGTAACTGAGAAAAATACGCATAAAATCGGAAAGCGCACGTAAAATACCCATCTCTCTCTCTCTCTCTCTCTCTCTCTCTCTCTCTGACTAAGATATTCAGTGTGAGTAAGACGCTTACGGATTTTTCGCTGTATGTCGGAAAGCGCTCGTTAAATTAACTAACTAACCAACTAAGATATCAAAATGCCATGAAAATATCACTGCTACAAAGTATAAGAAGATTGTCAATCACCGAGTATCCCTTTCTAAAACCATCTTGCGACTCACTTATTTTGTTATAAGAATCCGCAAAAAAACCAAGTATTTTGATGATAGAAGAATAAATAATTAACTGAAAATACTAAGAAGAGTTATGCCTCTATATTATTATTAACATCGCCGGTTGCGCCCTATCTGTGAAGAACAAAACTTGACCTCTCTAAATGAATGAGTGAGTTGGGTTTAACGCCGCTTTTAACAGTATTACAGTTATATCACGGCGTGTCAGCTTAATGTGGGAGGAAAGCCCGAAGTGATGCAGGTCTCAGACTTAAACCCACGCACGAGCACGGATATGGTGCTGACAAACCTAGAAACATAATCGGTGCGAACCGGGATTCGAACCCACAGTCATAGGTTTCTGGTGTGCCCAAGGGACGCAGCTCTGCACAACGAATCGCGGCGCTTTAGACGACTGGGCCACCCGTGCCTCTCTCTAAATAAACATTAATAATAAGCCGTTATACTGTATTCCCTAGTCCGTTTATCGTAAAAAAATAATTTGTTCTGTATGTCACCACGGTTGATGTATTTTTATAGCGAGTGAATCTTAGTCACGATCAAATGATATACACTGACGTCAGCAATTAGTCATATATTATATTCTGAAAAAAATAAAATAAAACGAATATTGCATTTTGTTTCAGGATTTCACCTTGGGTCGAGTCAAATACATTTGTTTTATTTCAATATTTATTTTGCCGTTACAAATAAACGCTGGAAATCTTTACCATGGTTCGTCGTACTATCGAGGGGCGAAACTACCATTGCAGCAGAAAAGCAATTGCTTACACCTAAGAAAGCACAATGTCTTTTATAAGTAAACCTCAATTTACCATCTATGCAGTAAATTATTAATTTGAACTCTACACGGTTGAACATGATCTTATAGTGAGTGAGTGAGTATGGTTTTACGCCGCTTTTAGCAATATTCCAGCAATATCACGGCAGGGGACACCAGAAATGGGCTTCACACATTGTACCCATGTCGGGAATCGAACCCGGGTCTTCGGCGTGACGAGCGAACGCTTTAACCACTAGGCTACCCTACCGCCCCCATGTATCTTATAAATTGTCTAACATGAAAATCGGAATTTTTACACACTTAATTGAGGATTTTCACTATTGTTTTCATCACAATGACAGATCGGCTCGCGTTTAAATATGAAAATATTTATAGCCATGACATACTACGAATGAACATGTAAAAACACCTAAAAGTAATATTGATTCGTTTTAATGTTCAAGTCTAATTTGTCAACATAGATGTTTCATGAGTAAGTGAGTATAGTTTTACGCCGCTTTGAGCAATATTCCAGCAATATCACGACGGGGGACACCAGGAATAGGCTTCACACGTTTTACCCATGTGGGGAATCGAACCCAGGTCTTCGGCGTGACGAGCGAACGCTTTAACCCCCAAACTCGACCATTTCGAGCCTTCGTAACATTGGTTTTGCTTACACTTATAATTAGCCCAACTAGTTGCGCTCCTGCTATCCCGAGCTGTTACCTTAAATTGCAACCTGTCATTAATTAACTCTGTATCAAGCGAGTGGCCCAGAAAGCACAGCAATAGTTAATATTACTCGGTTACATTGTTATACCAGCGCGACCCATTTTATCTAAAACAGCATATATAGTTACGTGAAGTTCTGTGTAAGTGTGTTCACTTTATGTAGGTATAGATATCTAGTTAAACAAATTCATTACAGCGTTTAAATGCTTCTTTTTTGTGCACAAATGAAAATTGTCTTCATATTTACACGTCATTTTTATTATGACCTGATAACACAGAAACCGGAGAATGTGTCTGTGTGCAGAATCAGGACGCGCTGACACACAGATGACCTCGAACTTGATAGCGCCACACCTCCACTAAGAAGGATTTTCATTGGTTACTGAAAGTCACGACCTATGACCTCTTGTACCACTGACGACGAGAGGACCAAGTAACATGAAAATCGACATTCACACTCACATTTTGCCAGAAAATTGGCCAGACCTGAAAGAGGTAGGTGTAAATATTGATGCAGTATGGTTTGGCAATGGGTCTGAGCACCGTTCTGAGTTATGACAGTGTTTGTAAGCATGGAGGAAATTGTGTGCCGCTTCCCAATACGCCGCATTCGCATTCACAGTACACGCGAACTTCCAGTTCCAGTGGCGAGAACACGTCGAACGCCGAACATCCATCAACAGGTGCACAACATGTAGGTCGAGCAGTCATATGTCCGTGTGCAGAGATAGGTATATTAGTTAGGTCGTATTTTATTCAGTGTATATTTTCAATATTGTGCCATGAGCTGTCATGCTCATGACCCCACACCCCCGTTCCTCCTTTAGCTGTCATGCTCACGACCCCCCCCCCCCCCCCCCTCCTTATTATTAATCACCAGTCATCAAACACAATGAATTATTATATCATATATGAACTGATAAACCATAGCTGGTACATGTTTGATGGTACATGTTTGATTATTAACAATATCTCACATAACATTGAACAAGTACAAATAGAGGTATACATTATATAACATGCAACAACAGTGAGTGAGTATTGTTTTACGCCACATTTAGCAATATTCCAGCAATATCACGCAAGGGGACACCAGACATGAGCTTCACACATTGTACCCATGTCGGGAATCGAAACCAGGTCTTCGGCGTGATGAGTAAACGCTTTGACCACTATAGGCAACCTGACCGCCCTTACATGCAACAATAAATAATATTGATGATATATAGAGGTTAGCACATGATCACACAAGTGTGTTTGGGAATGGTAAATATCCTGTATTAGGAATATACATTTATTTAGCGAGCCTTGGCGAGCTAAATACATAGTCTTTATCCCAAAGACAGGTTATTTACCATCCCCAAACACACAAGTGTGATAACCTCTTTGTCGTTCTTCAATTCTGTGCTTGAAATTGGAGGCATGGGTGGCCCAGTCTCAGAGGGAGAGGAAACAAAATAGATGTATGTATGTTTTATGAATTGATGTGAAAACAGGCAGCTTCCAACTGTTTGGTTGGAATGAAATTAAGAAACAACAATTAACATTCCTAGTTTATTGTTGATGTTTACCTTGTGGGGTTAGGATTCAAAACCTACATTCAACGGTGAAACTCCAGCATTAGAAATTGGCACTAATCCTGTTGTCCTTGCCAAACTGCCGAATAGTTAAGGTATCATAAAGAGTAGTAGACATTTGCACTTTTTAAGGGTTTTGCTATTTGTTATCATTATAAGGACTAGTGGACTAAAACTGTTAGTTTTTTCGCTGAACTTGAATGTTGTGTTAAATGAGTAATATTAATGCAGAATAATATATTTTCTGTTCTTTCATATCACTTTCACATTGTTAATTCCAAGCGAGTGAACAATCTAAAGCATGCAGGAACATGCATAATTTCAGTGTGTAGTGACAATTACCGTATTCGACGTAATAAGCACCCAGGGCGCTCTCAAAATTAGAAATAGGGGGCTCTTATTAGAATAATATTTTGGTGGAAAAAACAGAGTTGAAAGATAAATTTTGTGGTTTATGCTGACGGCCTGACTGTTTATATACGACAGATATATTTTTCCAGAATTTAATTGCCCATAATTAAGGGTGCATATAACACACGAGTACGTATTGTACACGTATAAATAGGTCTTGTGTACATTGATCAATTGGAAGGGGTGCTAATGGGGATTGTTCACTTACCAATATATTAGCAAATATCGCCGTGGGCGCTTATTAGAGCGGGGCGCTTATTACGTCGAATACAGTTATATGTTATTTAGGTTGTTGACTTCCTTGGTCAGTATACATTTGGAATACAATCACATAACGAGACACAAACAGTAAGTAAACAACAAAAAGCTATGGGATGAGCTTACTGAGGAACTATGGGATGGTATGTCAGTACATGTTTGTTTGTTGTTTAACGCCGCACTCAGCAATATTCCAACTGGTGGTCTGTAATAATCGAGTCTGGACCAGACAATCAAGTGATTGACATCATGAGCATGATTCACGTAATTGGGATTCGATGACATGCATCAAACCAAGTCAGCGAGCCTGACCACCCGATCCCGTTAGTCGCCTCTTACGACATGCATAGTCGTCTTTTACACGTAGTTTGAGGGGTTGGCGGTCATTTCACCAACATACCTTTCACATTGTTCAGTGGGACAGACTTGGTATTCAGCAACCCATTCTTGTTGTGAGAGGCCATTGGCATCAAGTGGTCTGGCTCACTGACTTTGTTTGATGCATGTCATCGTATCCCAAATGCATAGATTGATGATCATGATGTCAATCACTGGATTGTCTGGTCCAGATTCGCTTATGTTAAGACAGTCGTCCTATAGCTGGAATATTGCTGAGTATGATATTAAACAACAAACAAAACAAAACTTTGTTGAACCTTCAGGCAAAATCAGACAAAATTTAACTGTTAGCTCAAGTTTGATTGATCAAATGTGTCAAAACGTTTATAAAGAAAACAAAACCAGGAATATATCATGTAAATGTTGCCATGGTTACTGTGTAAATATGAAACATCCTTCACTTTTGACAGAATTTGCATTTTCTTGTCCACAAAACTGACTGATGAAAATAAAATGAAAAAATACTGAGCTAAACAAAAGTGTTTTTATTTTAACCTACCAAAGCTAAACAATAAAATATGGGTAAAATATTAAATATGAAAGTGAGTCTTCAGTACCCTGCCAGTACTAGTGAGTGAGTGAGTGAGTGAGTGAGTGAGTTGGGTTTAACTCTATTCCAGTTATATCACAGCGTGTCAGCTTAATGTGGGAGGAAAGCCCGAAGTGATGCAGGTCTCAGACTTTAACCACTTCGGTGAAACCCACGAGCACGGGTATGGTGCTGACAAACCTAGAAACATAATCGGGGCGAACCAGGATTCGAACCCACAATCATAGGTTTCTGGCACGCCCAAGAGACGCAACTCTGCACAGCGAATCGCGGCACCTTAGACGACTGGGCCCAGTCCACCCGTGCCCCCTTGCCAGTACTAAACAAATATTTATGCTTTTATCTACAACCTGAGTCACTTTATTAAGGTTTTGTTTTGTTTGTTTGTTGTTTAACGCCGCACTCAGCAATATTCCAGCTATATGATGGCGGTCTGTAAATAATCGAGTCTGGACCAGACAATCCAGTGATTGACATCATGAGCATCGATACACGCAATTGGGATACGATGACACATATCAACCAAGTCAGGGAGCCTGACCACCCAATCCCGTTAGTTGCCTCTTACTTTTATTAAGTAGGAAAACACTTTATGTGATTGGTTTTAAGTTATCTATTTATAGCTTATAACCCTGCAGGGTTTTTCCTGCTTAGCATCTCAGTACAGGCCTCAACATGGCCAGGTAATAATTGTCATATTTTATAATTTGTCCAGCGCTATGGTTACGGTGGGTTTATCCAGCTGGAACATCACTGTGCGGGGCAGGCCAAGATGATGAAGGATGGGAAGCTGTTCCGTGTGATTGACGACAACTGCTGGTCTCCGGAATCTCGCATCAAGGAGATGGATGCTACAGGTCAGGTCACCATGACAACCAGGTTCATATTTGGCCTGAGATAAACGTACATTGCATTTAGTAGGAATTAAGGATAGTTTTCTTTCAAATTGCCATGTCTTCTTTTACGTTATCACCATTTGCGCAAGACATCAGCTGCACTTATGACACGGTGATATTCAGGTAAAGGAGCGTGACCCGTACTGGGGGTGGATGACTGTTGACCTGACACACCTCAACAACCCAAGCAGAACATATACTGTAAATCTTGAAATTAATGCAAGTGTAGCAGGGCCTGGAGTCATCCCACAGATGACATCCTTACCTTACGGGGTTAATCTCTTTGGTCATGTGGACAAGGCGTCCGACCTCAGATCAGAAGGTCCGTGGTTAGAAATCCCATCAAGGGACTCGGAATTTTTATGGCCGCAACACAAGTATGAATTAAATGTGAAAAATGGGAGTGATCTTTGCTCGCATTGGTCAAACATCACATTTATATCTCAAAAGGACTATCAACAATAAGACAGCCTGACTTCATGTTTTGAAGATCCGGGGTAGAATAGGTCTTTAGCAACCCCTGCTTGCCATAAAAGTCGACTATGCTTGTCGTAAAAGGCGACAAATGGGACCAGGTGGTCATATTTCAAAATGACTATCAACAATAAGATGGCCTCACTTCACGTTCTGGATAGCAGATATACCATAAAAAATAAACCTTGGCCATAAAAACAAAGATCTTTATCTATTCCACATCACTATTTTATTGAGCAGCACTTTTAACAAGTATAACAATGTCATTCAAACACTAGCAATTACAAAATGGACATCCGATGAATTGTCACTGCTAGGGTCACGAGTACCATTCACTCATGCCAGACTATACTTCTCTGATTATTCCTGCGAGTCCAGACAGACGCCACCCACGCATCACAATGTTTTTTGTTCTTTGCAACTGCATCAACTTGAGTTGGTTAAGTTATTTTATTTCCTTTGAATTTCCTTAATGCCAGTCAACAGAATAAACACATTGATTATCTGTTGTTTTTAGGAAAACACTATGTATTGTTTTTTACGGAAGTATTCTACTTTGCATTTATTTTGAGTCGCAATTTTGGCTTGGGGCCAGCAGTCGCATTCATTTCAAGATTTACAGTATACTCATGAGCGGAAGTTATGCAACAAGCTGTGATCATGTACTTCTTGATCATGCTGTGATTATTCTATTTATTTCACAAAAAATAACAATGGTACATTCAATATATTAATAATATTAATTAAATATTTTTTGCAATGTCTACAAATGCAATCAAACTTGTTTGTTTTATAAAAAAACCAATAAGGGTACCATTAAGAAACATAAAGATTTTAAGTTTTGTCTTCAATGTCCTGACATGGGAAAAGATCTCGAAAATAAATGATGAGTTTTGTATGTTGCCAACTAATTGTTCCAAAACAAGTCTCGTATTTGTGCGGTATTTATTTCAGGCGTTGACGTTCAAGCTCTGTCCACTGTGCCGGTCATGTTCAGTTACTGGGTAAGACAGTCAATGAAACAATAGTTAGTGAGTGAGTAGGGTTTAACACCACTTTTAACACTATTCCAGTTATATCACAGCGTGTCAGCTTAATGTGGGAGGAAAGCCTGAAGTGATGCAGGTCTCAGACGTTTACAACTTCGGTGAAACCCACTAGCACTGGTATGGTGCTGACAAACCTAGAAACATAATCGGGGCAAACCGGGATTCGAACCCACAATCATAGGTTTCTGGCGTGCCCAAGGGACACAACTCTGCACAGCGAATTGTGGCGCCTTAGACAACTGGGCCACCAGTGCCCCCACGATACAGTAGACTCTGTGTAATCCGACACTGTTTGGGACTGAGTGTAGGTGGAAAAATGTCAGTTTACACAGATATGGGATTATACATATGGCTGACATGATACACTGTTAATCTGTGATCCGGGGGCACGGGTGGCCCAGTCGTCTAAGGCGCCGCGATTCGCTGTGCAGAGTTGCGTCACCTGGACACGCCAGAAACCTATGATTTTGGGTTCGAATCCCGGTTCACCCCGATTATGTTTCTAGGTTTGTCAGCACCATACCCGTGCTCGTGGGTTTTACCGAAGTGGTAAACATCTGAGACCTGCATCACTTCGGGCTTTCCTCCCACATTAAGCTGACACGCTGTGATATAACTGGAATAATGTTAAAAGCGGCGTTAAACCCAACTCACTCACTAATCTGTGATCCAATTAAAGAAACAATTATTGATTAAACTGCATGTTGCAGCAAGCATGAAAAGTTATTGGTTCATTGTCAAATGATTCTTGTTAATTGTTAATTGAGTGTTTATTGAAGGTATTTTCTTGTGTCGGGTTACGCAATGGATTTGCTCATGCGACCTTTAAAACAGTGTCGGAATTTGGAATAGACAGGTGTCTGATTTGTTTAGCTGATAATATATAGGGACTGTGCCGGGACCAAAACATTTTCTAAATGGCATCGTGTGTTCATAGCTTTCAGCCATGGGAACTGTGCCAATATACACTTGTCAGAGGGGCTGAGTGGGTCAGATCGCTGACTTTGTGGACTGGCGATTCGGTGCCTGACCCTTGCTGTTTGGGTTTGAATCCTGGATGAGAATCAACCCCAAAAAGTACTAGAATCTGTACTTTATAAAGAAAGTGTTATCCCACATATAACATTTGTTACAAAATGTTAACGATTAGACGGAATGTCAGATTTCACAGAGTCTACTTAAATATCAGAATGTACAGTCTACTCAATTTATAGTCACCAGATACCTCAACTTTCTGTCACACCGATTTGAGGTGCTACACCAGTGATGTTAAAACTTCTTTAATAACCGGAGCCTGACCACGTGATCCCATTAGTCGCCTCTTACGACAAGTGTAGCGGCCATAAAATTTCCGAGTCCCATGATGAGATTCGAACCACGGACCTTCTGATCCGAGGTCAGACGCTTTGTCCACATGACCAAAGAGGTTAACCCCGTCAGCAAGCTGACAAGGTAAGGATGTCATCTGTGGGATGACTCCTCGCCCTGCTACACAAGCATAGTTGCCTTTTATGGCAAGCATGGGTTGCTGAAGACCTATTTTACCCTAGATCTTCACAGGTCTAAAAAAGGATGAGAGCATTTTGACATTTTCTTTATTATTTTCCCAAACAGTGAAAATATCATTTTGCATGCTGTGGTAATCTTGCAAAACTTATTGCACTTTTAGTATGTGCAGGCATTCTCTCATGTGACATATCTATTACTTTACTCCAGAAAATTGAAATATGTAGTTTCTTGTGTGTTAGAAACATATCCAATATTTCAAATAGGCAAAGCCAGAAGACACGCTGGACCTGTGTAAGATCCTCAATGACGGAATAGCTGACATCGTGAAGAAGTATCCAAAGAGGTTTACCGGACTTGGCACACTGCCCATGCAGGCGCCGGAGTTGGCAGTTCAGGAACTCATCCGTTGTAGGAAAGAGCTGGGTGAGTGAGGGAGGTGTTATGTAATTAGCAACATTTCACCAGGTATGGTTGTCTCATATTGTACCCATGTCAGGAAACGAACCCAGGGCTTGGTTTAATGACACAATGCTTCATCCACTGTGCTACCTAACCCTGAAATGATGGAGTGAGTGAGTGAGTGAGTATAGTTTTACACCACTTTTAGCAATATTCCAGCAATATCACGGCGGGGGACTCCAGAAATGGGCTTCACACATTTTACCAATGTCGGTATTCGAACCTGGGTCTTCGGCGTGACGAGTGAATGCTTTAACCACTAGGCTACCCGACCGCCCTGAAATGATGGAGACAAGAGGGATAATGTACAAGTGTGCCTGGGCACAACTAGGCTAATTTTAAGTGTAAGCAAAACCAATGACAGGTATGGGGCATGCCACCCTGAATTTTTAAAAAATTAGATGCTCTTAAATGCTATTTCCTGCATTTTGGGACTGTTTACTGGTTACATGCATAAACATTTATTCACTTTTTTAACTCTTCCCATCACTATCAATATTAAAAATTATTTAAAATACTATGACAAAACCCTGTTGAAAGTTATCGTATAGACCACCACCCCCTTTTTTATTTTCCTACCTACTTAACATTTGAGGAAATCACAGAAAATTATTTGAAATTAAATATGTAATTTTTTTTTAACCTGAAAACCTGAATGGGCCAATAATCTGTAAACAAAAAAACCAAACCAGTCTAGCCAAAGTATTTGACTTTCAAAATACTGTATTCGACGTAATAAGCGCCCCGCTCTAATAAGCACCAACGGCGATATTTGCTAATATATTGGCTAGTGAACAATCCCAATCAGCACCCCTACCAATTGATCAATGTACACAAGACTTATTCATTCATGTATAATACGCATGGGCAATTAATTTCTGGAAAAATATATCTGTCGTATATAAACATTTCAGGCTGTCAGCATACCCGGTAAACCACAAAATTTATGATCTTTCAACTCTCTTTTTTTTCCACCAATATAATATTCTAATAAGAACCCCCTATTTCTAATTTTGAGAGCACCCTGGGCGCTTATTAAGTCGAATACGGTAAGTCACTTGTACACTGTGTTTTGTGCAGGTTTTCATGGTGTTCAGATCGGATCTCACATCAATGACTGGAATCTAGATGCTCCTGAGCTGCAGCCAGTATTTGCTGTGAGTTGACTGTTTTATTCTGTGACATAAATATGTGAATGTAAAAAAATAAATACATTTTGTAAATCTGAAAACACATGATGTGTATTGACATTGTAAAATACAAAAATTATCAGTATTGTCTGAAGCTCCCTGTCGCTGTGTGAAGTACCACAGTTGAGACAAACATGACGTCACTCTGGAATGCAATAATGTCATGATAAAATGGATGACGTCACATGCTTCCATCATAACAACTCACCCATTTTGCCGAATGTGAAAAAATTAAGCTAATTTGAAGTTTTATTGATAAATATTGATCAAACTTTATGTTTAAAATGTGTTTTCGTTTCACCAAGCCTTTTTGCAAATTTGGGATTGAGAAAAAGGTATTCATAAGTATTTGGGGGCACGGGTGGCCCAGTCGTCTAAGGTGCCGCAATTTGCTGTGCAGAGTTGCGTCCCTTGGGCACGCCAGAAACCTATGATTGTGGGTTCGAATCCCGGTTCACTCCGATTATGTTTCTATGTTTGTCAGCACCATACCCGTACTCGTGAGTTTGACTGAAGTGAAACATGCATCACTTCAGGCTTTCCTCCCACATAAAGATGACACGCTGCGATATAACTGTAATACTGTTAAAAGCGGCGTTAAACCCAACTCACTCACTCACAATGAGTGAAAAGTCTGAAAGATTCCAGGATCCAATCCTATTCAACGATGTTTATCAACCAATCAGCTTGCAGCTCACACTACCATTCAAAATAGAATATTGATTCAGTTCTGTTTCCTTTTGTTTACTCCCTGGGACTTTCATCCGTTGAGCCATTATGAGTGGCTTGACTTGACATTTATAAAAGCCACAACACAATTTTTGAGGTCTACACTCTGTGTGGTCTGATGTTATTCATCCGAAGGTTCCCGTTTGTTTCCAGGCAGCGGAAGAACATGACTGCTCCATCTTTGTCCACCCCTGGGACATGGATCAAGGGGGGCGGATGAGCAAGTACTGGTTGCCATGGCTTGTAGGTAGGTACTGGTTGCCATGGCTTGTAGGTAGGTACTGGTTGCCATGGCTTGTAGGTAGGTACTGGTTGCCATTGCTTGTAGGTAGGTACTGGTTACCATGGCTTGTAGGTAGGTACTGGTTGCCCTGGCTTGTAGGTAGGTACTTGTTACCATGGCTTTATTAGGTACTGGTTGCCATGGCTTGTAGGTAGGTACTGCTTGCCATGGCTTGTAGGTAGGTACTGGTTGCCATTGCTTGTAGGTAGGTACTGGTTGCCCTGGCTTGTAGGTAGGTACTTGTTACCATGGCTTTATTAGGTACTGGTTGCCATTGCTTGTAGGTAGGTACTTGTTACCATGGCTTGTAGGTAGGTACTTGTTACCATGGCTTGTAGTTAGGTCTGTACTTGTTACCATGGCTTGTAGGTTGGAGAACATGATGGGATTAATGACAATTGCAGTAAAGTTACAAAATGTGTCAAAAAATTCATGTATTAAGAAATAGATACCGGTATTGAAATCCAATGAAAAATAGGATAATTAATTAGCCAAAGTAATCCACATGTGTGTTCTGCAAAGAAGGATCCAGTCTACGAGACACAGGTCATGCTTGTATATGTATTGTTATACACCTTGAATCAAGGGACATTTGAAACTTCAGGCATGCCAGCCGAGACGACTACAGCCATTTGTTCCCTGCTGTTTGGTGGAGTACTGGAGAGGTTTCCCAAGCTCAAAGTCTGCTTTGCTCATGGAGGTAAATTACGGCAAGACTCCAACGCTCATTGACTGCAGCATGTTAACTGTTCTACCCATGAGTCAAGCCTCACTATTGATTGGGTTTTGACTAGGTGAGGTGAGGTGAAATGGGGTTTAACGTCGCGTCCAAGATTATTGCACTTATATAGCGACGTGCATGTACGTGTTTGTGTGTGTGTGTGTGGCTGCTTGTACTAGTCCGGACTGATGCCAATTTATAGTGCTAGCTCACTGAGATACCATGCCGCAGTTTAACATGAATATCCCACTCAGACACAGTATACTGACTCCGAGCCGACCAGTCCTTGTTTTAGCCCCTTAATGCCAAGCACCAGACAGGGTAACAACAAGTACCATCTTTTAACGTCTTTTGGTATGACGCGGCTGGGGATAGAACCCCGGACCTTCCGCTCAGGGCGGGTGCTCTACCATTAGACCACGGAGGCGGTCTTTGACTAGGAAAGAGAGCAACATTATCTCAAGTGTCAGAGCCAGGAATATACAAATGACTGATCTCTACATGGTATTCATCACGCTGTTCCATAAAACTCTTGCTAGGCTTGGTAGCCAAGGGGTGAAAGCGTTCGCTCGTCATGTCAAAGACCAGGTTCAATTCCCCACATGGGTACAATGTGGAAGCTCATTTCTGGTGTCCCCCTGCCGTGATATTGTTGGAATTATGTGAAAAATGACATAAATCCATACCTACTGATTCACTCATTTAAAACGCCTGCGTGAAACAAATTGTGTTCGGTGTCGTAATATCAAGGTGAGTGAGTGAGTATGGTTTTACGCCGTTTTTAGCAATATTCCAGCAATATCAAGGAGGGGGACACCAGAAATGGGCTTCACACGTTGTACCCATGAGGGGAATCGAACCTGGGTCTTCAGCGTGACGAGCGAACGCTTTAACCACTGGGCTACCCGACCGCCCCCGTAATATCAAGGATGCTGACACATTAGTTTTCGCATGACACCTGAAATAATCTGGCCTGTTTCTGATGTTATGTTTAAATAATTTTAAAAAACCCAAGACAGTTTACCTGCCCACATTCTGACTTTATAATGTTGAAAAATTGCAAAAAAAGAGAGACAAATCGCGTCTTGATTCAGTTGAAATGATGGTAACAATTACTTGAGAATCTACGAGGGGTTATAATAAAAATTGATAAGCAGTCTTAAAAATATCTACCAGACAGTCGTTCATGCAGCCCGACAGAAAAGTTACCAGCCACGGGCAGGTGGGCAGGCAGTTATTTCGGACACTGCTGACACTTGTAGCACAATGAACATTAGCCTGAACTTGGTGAATGGAATCTGGCACATTCAACATGGACTTGAAACAATCTTGACACATCACAGGGACATGCAACATTGATACTTAACTTAACAGAGATATAGACACCACACAGAGACACTGAAACAATATGATTACCAGGAACAAAATAGGAACATGGAAAGAACATGTACGTCATTGTGTTTACCTTTTAGGAAACCCACAAGCTCACACACTGTATTAATCTGATTAGAATCAAATCTTAGTTCTCGCTACCGCTAAACAAAGATCTGAGGACATCCCATTGCGGGTCACGTAAGAACGACCTAACACCAATCAGAGAATCGATTGTCAGATCATGAAAGTGACTGTTGGAATGTGATTTTTGATCGTGCAACCTAGAAAAAAACCACACAGGATATTCAGAACGACAGTTATGGGTTTATGTCTGTATTTATACAATCTAGACCATCTATTAGCCATTCCAGAATGTTCTTTTGTTCAGTTTTTAATTTTTTAATCGAGCATATGTCAAAATATGTTTCGAAGCGTAGTCGCCAGTTTGAAACTCATGCCGTAAAGCGTGATTAAGCTACCTTCTGATTAGTCATTCCATTAAGCTGCCTTCTTGTTAGTCATTCCATTGGTCGGTCAAAGTTCACGAAAGGTCGGTCTGACGTGACCCGTAATGGGATGTCCTCAGATCTTTGTTTAGTGGCAGCGAGAACTAAGATCTGATTTTAATGAGATTGAACACTGTACTGTCTCAACTGTCACAGCTGTTAAATAGTTGTCGAAGTTTTGAAAAATGTAAGCACATGGCATCTGTAATGGCGGAATACAATAAAAGATATGGAGCTTGTAGTTGTTCCACAACTTGATACCTAACACACACAGTAGAGTCCTTTTAAAGAAAGCGCAAATAAGGCATCAAAGCATGAGTCTAAGAAACCTTATGAACAATGAAACCAATACGACACAAGTCACAGCTGACGACAAACAAACAATCTGTGGTCCAATGGATAGAGTTTGCTCAGTGGTGCCATCCCCAGCTCATTCATACCTGAAAATGGTAAAAAATGGTACTTGTTGTTACCCTGCCTGGCACTCGGCAAAGACTGGTCGGTTTGGAGTCCATATACTGTGTCAGAGTTGGGTGCCCATGTTTAACTGCGGCATGATATCTCAGTGGGCTAGCACTTTGAAAACAGCAATACTCTGGACTTGTACAAGCAGACACAGACGAAGGCTGGCATTATATACGTGCAATCATGTTGAGGCTGGCCCTATATACGTGCAATCATGTTGAGGCTGGCACTATATACTTGCAATCATGTTGAGGCTGGCACTATATACGTGCAATCATGTTGAGGCTGGCCCTATATACGTGCAATCATGTTGAGGCTGGCACTATATACATGCAATCATGTTGAGGCTGGCACTATATACGTGCAGTCATGTTGAGGCTGGCACTATGTACGTGCAATCATGTTGAGGCTGGCACTATATACGTGCAATCATGTTGAGGCTGGCACTATATACGTGCAATCATGATGAGGCTGGCACTATATACGTGCAATCATGTTGAGGCTGGCACTATATACGTGCAATCAGGTTGAGCGTAACATATAACCCCCATTCCTCCACACCTCATGTGAGACTTGTTACGTTCTTTTAGGTGGGGCCTTTCCCTTCACAGTCGGCAGGATAGAGCACGGTTTCAATGTCCGGCCTGATCTGTGTGCTACTGAAAACAGTGTCAACCCTCGCAAGTACCTGGGGAAGTTCTACACTGATGCTCTGGTACATGACGCACGGTCACTGGAGCTCTTGGTTGATGTTATGGGCAAGGTGGGTTCTGGTTGATGTTATAGATGGAACATGACACAAAGCCCTAGAGCTGGTTGATGTTATAGATGGTACATGACACAGAGCCCTAGAGCTCCTGGTTATAGATGGTACATGACACAGAGTCCTAGAGCTCCAGGTTGATGTTATAGATGGTACATGACTCACGGTCACTGGAGCTCTTGGTTGATGTTATAGGCAAGGTGGGTCCTGCTTGATGTTATAGATGGTACATGACACAGAGCCCTAGAGCTGGTTGATGTTATAGATGGTACATGACACAGAGCCCTAGAGCTGGTTGATGTTATAGATGGTACATGACACAGAGCCCTAGAGCTCCTGGTTATAGATGGTACATGACACAGAGTCCTAGAGCTGGTTGATGTTATAGATGGTACATGACACAGAGCCCTAGAGCTGGTTGATGTTATAGATGGTACATGACACAGAGCCCTAGAGCTCCTGGTTATAGATGGTACATGACACAGAGTCCTAGAGCTCCAGGTTGATGTTATAGATGGTACATGACTCACAGTCACTGGAGCTCTTGGTTGATGTTATAGGCAAGGTGGGTCCTGCTTGATGTTATAGATGGTACATGACACAGAGCCCTAGAGCTGGTTGATGTTATAGATGGTACATGACACAGAGCCCTAGAGCTGGTTGTTGTTATAGATGGTACATGACACAGAGCCCTAGAGCTCCTGGTTATAGATGGTACATGACACAGAGCCCTAGAGCTGGTTGATGTTATAGATGGTACATGACACAGAGCCCTAGAGCTGGTTGATGTTATAGATGGTACATGACACAGAGCCCTAGAGCTCCTGGTTATAGATGGTACATGACACAGAGTCCTAGAGCTGGTTGATGTTATAGATGGTACATGACACAGAGCCCTAGAGCTGGTTGATGTTATAGATGGTACATGACACAGATCCCTAGAGCTGGTTGATGTTATAGATGGTACATGACACAGAGCCCTAGAGCTCCTGGTTATAGATGGTACATGACACAGAGCCCTAGAGCTGGTTGATGTTATAGATGGTACATGACACAGAGCCCTAGAGCTGGTTGATGTTATAGATGGTACATGACACAGAGCCCTAGAGCTGGTTGATGTTATAGATGGTACATGACACAGAGCCCTAGAGCTCCTGGTTATAGATGGTACATGACACAGAGTCCTAGAGCTCCAGGTTGATGTTATAGATGGTACATGACTCACGGTCACTGGAGCTCTTGGTTGATGTTATAGGCAAGATGGGTCCTGCTTGATGTTATAGATGGTACATGACACAGAGCCCTAGAGCTGGTTGATGTTATAGATGGTACATGACACAGAGCCCTAGAGCTGGTTGATGTTATAGATGGTACATGACACAGAGCCCTAGAGCTCCTGGTTATAGATGGTACATGACACAGAGTCCTAGAGCTGGTTGATGTTATAGATGGTACATGACACAGAGCCCTAGAGCTGGTTGATGTTATAGATGGTACATGACACAGAGCCCTAGAGCTCCTGGTTATAGATGGTACATGACACAGAGTCCTAGAGCTGGTTGATGTTATAGATGGTACATGACACAGAGCCCTAGAGCTGGTTTATGTTATAGATGGTACATGACACAGATCCCTAGAGCTCCAGGTTGATGTTATAGATGGTACATGACTCACGGTCACTGGAGCTCTTGGTTGATGTTATAGGCAAGGTGGGTCCTGCTTGATGTTATAGATGGTACATGACACAGAGCCCTAGAGCTGGTTGATGTTATAGATGGTACATGACACAGAGCCCTAGATCTCCTGGTTATAGATGGTACATGACACAGAGCCCTAGAGCTGGTTGATGTTATAGATGGTACATGACACAGAGCCCTAGAGCTCCTGGTTATAGATGGTACATGACACAGAGTCCTAGAGCTGGTTGATGTTATAGATGGTACATGACTCACGGTCACTGGAGCTCTTGGTTGATGTTATAGGCAAGGTGGGTCCTGCTTGATGTTATAGATGGTACATGACACATAGCCCTAGAGCTGCTGGTTATAGATGGTACATGACACAAGTTCCCTAGAGCTCCAGGTTGGTGTTATAGATGGTACATGACACAAGTTCCCTAGAGCTCCAGGTTGATGTTATAGATGGTACATGACACAAGGTCCATAGAGCTCCAGGTTGATGTTGTAGATGGGTACATGACACAAGGTCCATAGAGCTCCAGGTTGATGTTATAGATGGGTACTTTACACAAGGTCTCTAGAGCTCCAGGTTGATGTTATAGATGGTACTTGACACAAGGTCTCTAGAGCTCCAGGTTGATGTTATAGATGGTGCATGACACAAGGTCCCTAGAGCTCCAGGTTGATGTTATAGATGGTACATGACACAAGGTCTCTAGAGCTCCAGGTTGATGTTATATATGGTACAAGACACAAGGTCTCTAGAGCTCCAGGTTGATGTTATAGATGGTACATGACACAAGGTCTCTATAGCTCCAGGTTGATGTTATAGATGGTACAAGACACAAGGTCTCTAGAGCTCCAGGTTGATGTTATAGATGGTACATGACTCACGGTCACTGGAGCTCTTGGTTGATGTTATAGATGGTACAAGACATGAGGTCTCTAGAGCTCCAGGTTAGTGTTATAGATGGTACAGGACACAAGGTCTCTAGAGCTCCAGGTTGATGTTATAGATGGTACATGACACAAGGTCTCTAGAGCTCCAGGTTGATGTTATAGATGGTACATGACACAAGGTCTCTAGAGCTCCAGGTTGATGTTATAGATGGTACATGACACAAGGTCTCTAGAGCTCCAGGTTGGTGTTATAGATGGTACATGACACAAGGTCTCTAGAGCTCCAGGTTGGTGTTATAGATGGTACATGACACAAGGTCCATAGAACTCCTGTTTAATGTTATAGATGGTACATGACACAAGGTCCCTAGAGCTCCTGGTTGATGTTATAGATGGTACATGACACAGAGCCCTATAGCTATTGGTTGATGTTATAGATGGTACATGACACAAGGTCCCTAGAACTGCTGGTTAATGTTACAAATGGTTATTTCCTGTTGAAAACGTCTGTTCATAATTGCTTATTGCGCGAAGTTTTCTATTTTCCTGTGTGTTGTCAGGAGAGAGTGTTGCTGGGGAGTGACTACCCCTTCCCTCTCGGGGAACACCACCCTGGCAAGCTGGTGGAGTCCATGGAGGGATTTGATGCAAATCTCAAGGTATAACCTAGTTAAAAATATTTTTTAATGAAGGATATCTTTTAATTTACAAATGTTTGCTTAATACGATGAAACCCTGTAAAGTCCAAACCTATTATAATGAAAACCTCATTGTCCGTAGAACTACTGCTTGCTTGCTCACTCGATCACAGATTTGCTCACTCCCTCCCTCCCTCACTCACTCACTCTCTCACTCATCTGTGGAATTCATTCCAGGATAACCTGCTGGCTGGCAATGCACTGGAATTTCTCAATCTCACTCACTCACTCTCTCTCTCTCTCTCTCTCTCTCTCTCTCTCACTCTCTCTCTCTCACTGTCACTCACTCACTCACTCTCTCACTCATCTGTTCAATTCATTTAAGGATAACTTCCTGGCTGGCAAAGCACTGGAATGTCTCATACATTCCCTCCCTTCGTCCCTCCCTCCCTCCCTCACTCACTCACTCACTCTTGAATTTATTTCAGGATAACTTGCTGTTGAATTCATTTCAGGATATATTGCTGCCTGGCAATGAACTGGAATTTTTCAGTTACTTACTCACTCACTCATCTATTGAATTCATTCCAGGATAATTTGCTGGCTGGAAATGCACTGGAATTTCTTGGCCTGGACAGGGCCAAGTTTCAGTGATGCTCTCCATGAAGACCACACAATGTCTTCATCACCCTCCTACTGGTCTACCCAAGAATTGAAGATAACCAAAAACTGAAATCCTGGACACTGTGTGACGTTGCTCTTAAGTAACTGGTGACAGAATGGTGCAGACAATGATATACAAGCTGCCATGATATAGCTGGAATATTGCTGCTATGGCTTAAAAAAAACACACAAAAAACAAAGTCAATATTTCTATCCTCCGCAAAAATCGCTTGCCACACTGACAGTGGTTGCCTTCAAATTTTATACATTGGAGACGATTGAATAGCACAATTTTGGTTACAAACTTTAAAATATGTAACATGAATATGAAATAAGAGCTCTGAATGATGCAAGGTTGTGTCAGATATATTACCGGTACTTGCCAATTGGTTACAATCAGGTAGGTATTATGTGTGAGTGAGTGAGTCTGACACACAACACCCCTTTAACCATGCTTTAAATATGTGATGCCATTGCAGCTTAATGTGAGCGGTAGACCTCGTAGTGCCTACGCCTTAGACATTTATTTAGTAATCTCACCAGTGAGAGTGGGTGGGCATCTTCCCCAGGGAAATGAGTTAACTGACTTTAAAAGTAAAGTTTCCACTCTTGAGTTATATTTTGGCTGGACTAACAAGGCTATGCATAGTCCAATCAAAATTGTGAAAGGAAATCAAAATCCGGTTCCTAAACTGTCGTGCAGATTTCAGTTGAATGACGGATTTGGAAAGCATGTGCACTGCCAATTTGGCGTCAACAGATATTTTCCAAATCTTTTCATGTTTTTTATCAAGGTGCTCACACGATTTGATGCACTTTGTCATGTAAGACCCGTTTTATCAGAATATAGATCTTGAATGTTGATCAGATAGTCTTGAATCTGGGCTGCCATTTTGTTTGAAACAAATGCAAATGATACAAGAGGCGAAATCTGATTGGTCAATAGGAGAGGCACAGAAGTGACACAACTTGTAATAACCACTCCTTGTGCTGAGCCCAGAAATTCCAGCCTAGGTCGACAAGGGCGGAAACTGGACTTTTATAGTCAGTTAGCTGCCTTGCCTCAGGAAGATGGTTGGTGGTTGGGTGGTTGAGTGAGTGAATGGTTGAGTGAGTGAGTGAAAGTAGTTAAATGCTGCTCTGAAAAGTATTCGTCAGTACAAAATCATTCAATTTGTAGATGTGTATTTTGTTGGGAAAGCCAAAAGGCCCATTTTGCTGCAGACCAAGGACCATCGTATCTAGTCACTTTTTATTATCTCCCTTTATTAAGTTTCGTTTCCGGAGCATAACTCAGAAACCGTTCAATATTTTTTCATGAAACTCTGCAGGTCTGTCAAGTACATGCTGAACTGGTGCCTTTTGCTTTTTCGAAATTTTCGAAAAATTTATTTTTTCGCTTCCATGGCAACAAGTTGGACTTGGGTTCCAAACTCTTCTTTTTTTACAAGTTCCACCTCGGTTAAAAAAGGTTAGGGTTTGTTTAAATTTAATAATGTCATAAATTCTGCAACAGGGGTGGAGGATATAGCCACCTTAGTGGCAAACTCTTGTTCCTAAAGAAATATACTGCCTGGTTAAAAATATAGAAAGTATTGTTCTTCATACATGCACACTATGTGTGTTATAACCTGTCGCTAGTCATCTTTTCAATGAATTTCCGACGATATATTTCTTTGATTATATATATGTATGATGCTATGTCTTATATATGTATACTGGTAAGTCATGTAATGTTCACTATTACCATACACACATACTCATGTACACTATATGTAATCTGTTACTGGACCTCTGTATTAATCGCTAGTTTCTCCTTTGGTTGTTTTGGTTGGTTTGTTGTTTAACGCCTCACTCAGCAATATTCCAGCTATATGACGGTGGTCTGTAAATAAAGGAGTCTGGACCAGACAATCCAGTGATTTACATCATGAGCATCGATCCACGAAATTGGGATCGATGACATGCATCAACCAAGTCAGCGAGCCTGTTTCTCCTGTGGACATTATATTATATATTGCTACTACTAGGAAGTTATTGTATGTGTTGCAGATTCATTGCAATGTTTTTTATTTAGCGTATCAATACAAAAAATGGGACAAAATAAATATATTTCAAAGATGGAACAATTTATTTATATTTGACACTTATCCACTGCTCAAATGCAGTTTATATTTGATCCCTGGTCAGTCGATCCAGAGCAATCGAGTTACCATTCTCATCTCCCTGGGGAGTATACAATCCATGCTGCCAACAGGAGCTAGAAGGTTTTTACATACAACTCACATATTGGGTACCCATTCCCTGCTAGATAAACAGTGGTTAAAGCACTCGTCTCTAAACCCAGTTTCGATTCCCGACATGGGAACAGTGTGTGAAGCCCATTTCTGGTGTCCCCTCTCTGTGATATTGCTGGAATATTGCTAAAAGCGGCGTAAAACCATACTCACTCAATATCTCACTAACTCACTAGGCACTAGGCACTAACAAAGGCACATCTGAATCAAGTCACTTGCCCAGGGTAACACCCATTTTTGACATGTCTATTCTGGGTTTATGAACCTTTTCGTGTTTCAACCATCTGGTCATCTACCATTGGCTGTGGCTTCTTCTAAATGTTTGAGGGGGCGGTCAGGTAGCCTAGTGGTTAAAGCGTTCGCTCGTCACGCCGAAGACCCGGGTTTGATTCTGACATGGGTACAATGTGTGAAGCCCATTTCTGGTGTCTCTCGCCTTGATATTGCTGGAAAACTCACTCACCACTGAATGCATGTACTGTACACTGGGTCAGTAACAAAACCCTACTGTATGGACCTTGTTGGTCCATAAGCTGAATTAAGAGACCAAACATGTGTGGCACACAGTTTTCTCCAACAGTCAGAGTGAGCGAGTGAGTGCTGCTTTTAGCAATATTCCAGCAATATCAAGGCGGGGGGACACCAGAAATGGGCTTCACGCATTGTACCCATGTCGGGAATCGAAACCCGGGTCTTCGGTGTGACGATCGAACGAACGCTTTAACCACTGGGCTACCCGACCGCCCCTTCCAACAGTCTGAAGAATAACTATTTTTTTTCAAGCATTTTTTGAGACAATATTTTTTTCCAATAAAATCTCAACAATCAGTCCCTGGCGTTTGAGACCACTGATCTACTTGGCCCCAATGTGTGGTTGCGTCTATGTACTTGCACCAGTGCACACAGAAGTTTTTCAGAGAATGACCATCATCAGTCATGGTTTGTCTCTCCTACGTTTAACACCACACAATATCCATGCGGTAAGATTGGTTTGGTTGGTTTGTTGTATAACGACGCACTCAGCAATATCCCAGCTATATGACGGCGGTCTGTAAATAATCGAGTCTTGTGCGTGAGTTAAAACACAATCCAGTGATTAATATCATGATCACCGATCCACGCAATTGGGATCGATGACGTGCATCAACCAAGTCAGCGAGTCTGACCACCCGATCCCGTTAGTCGCCTTTTACGACAAGCATAGTCACCTTTTACGGCAAGCATGGGTTGCTGAAGACCTATTCTAAACTTCACGGGTCCCATGCGGTAAGACAGGGTGAGGACCAGACAACCCAGCGACTGACATAAGTATCATCTACGCAATTGGGATACGATGACATGCATCAAGCACGTCTGCGAGCCTGACCACCCGATGCCTTTAGTGGCCTCTTACGACAAGCATGGGTTAACGAGCTGTGAGTGCGTGAGTTAAAACTTAGCATCCGTATTATTTCAGTCATTTTGCGACCACCGAGCTGTGAAGAATGACAGATGATCTATTGGGCAAAGCGTAATTTAACTCACTTTTTTTTACTCCAAAAAGATATCGATTGCATTTTCAGATAATTTGTAGTATTTCCGAATATCCTGAGCCAAAGGGGGGGCGCGGTTCGCTGTGCAGAGTTGCGTCCCTTGGGCACGCCAGAAACCTATGCTAGGAATCCCGGTTCGCCCCGATTATGTTTCTGGGTTTGTCAGCACCATACGTACCCGTGCTCGTGGGTTTCACCAAAGTGGTAAACGTCTGAGACCTGCATCACTTCGGGCTATCCTCCAACATTAAGCTGACATGCCGCGATATAACTTGAATACTGTTAAAAGCGGCGTTAAACCCAACTCACTCACTTACTCCTGAGCCAAAGTGGCCAGATTTTGTGAAAAGACCACTCCATGACCTTTAATTCCTGACACATTCTGTCCCACACAAATATGTATCTCCATCAGTTGACATCTCTTCAGGCAAGTTGACTGCCTTCGAAATTAGTTTCTGTTGCTTCTATGATGAGATACTAGTGTCTTACATGCGTTGTATACTCCCCAGGGAGCTGAGAATTTCATGTTCGAATGCTCACAGGTCATTTACAGGAGTTGTATTACTCTTTTAGCATAACTATGTGCCGTATTCCCTTAATAACAGGCTTTAGGGACGAGTGATGCAGTCTATCCATTATCAAGGGTTCGCTGTTTACGTTTCTAGATTTGTCAGCACCAAACCCATACACGTATGTTTCCCCAAACGTCAAAGACCTGCATCTCTTCAGACTCCCCCATTCCCCACACTTAGACGACACGCCGTGGTGTAACTCAATGGTTCGGGTATGAACATTCAATTGGAATGGATTGTTTGCTGCACCCGCTGAACCTACTGTTCCTAGAAGTATTTTTCCTCGATTCGCAGTATTTTTATTAATAAGTCATGCCGTTTTCTTCGTATGCACAAAACCTACTCGGTGTTCGTGCTTGACGTCTCTATCCTTTCGCCAATGACCAGAAACAGTGCGACCTTTAAAGGAAGTTTAAAATACAGGCGTTCTTGGCCACGCACAATGAAGCGCCGTAAAATATCAAACAGTGTCTGCATTTAGAGCAAAGCCGTGCCGAATTGACTTTCTGAGTATGCGAGTGAGTTACAAATGTTTTGTTTGTTTGCTTGTTTGCTTGTTTGTTGGTTGGTTAACAACGGAATCAGCAATATTCCAGCTATATGACGGCGGTCTGTAAATAATCGAGTCTTGACCAGACAATCCAGTGATTGACATCAAGAGCATCGATCCACGCAATTAGGATACGACGACATGCATCAACCAAGTCAGCGAGTCTGACCACCCGATCCCGTTAGTCGGCTCTTACGACAAGCATAGTCGCCTTTTACGGCAAGCATGGGTTCCTGAAGACCCATTCTACCCCGGATCTTCACGGGTATGTTACAAATGTACCCTATTGACATGAACCAATTGAATTGTTGAAGTCAAATGACCCACCGGCCCTAGTATAAATAAATGCCAAAGCAACAAATGTGCACATCCCCTCCGATGGGTACCGGTAACCACCATATCAGCATCAAATTTGCATATTCAATAACTTCCTTTAATTTGGTAGAAGCGTTCATACAAAAATTTGTGAATGTTTGTTCTATCGCAGACTTTTGTAAGTTATCGAGTCTGGGCAAGGGAGACCATTGCCGCGAGCCGCGATGGGGTCCTACAGTCAAGACATGACCCTACATCGTGATGGACACGTGAATTGTTGTTCATGCCATCAACCACTGGTCTCCCTAGCCGAGAGCCGAGATGGGGTTATACAGTCAAGACATGACCCTACATCGTGATGGAAACGTGAATTGTTGTTCATGCCATCAACCACTGGTCTCCCTAGCCGAGAGCCGAGATGGGGTCCTACAGT